TAAATAAATAAATAAATAAGCCAGCAGTAGAAAGATCAAAAAAGGCTTCAAGATAGGATGTTAACATTTTTGTCTATGGAACAGTCTAATTTGTGTATCAAAGTTAAGAGGACAGCTTCTGTATATATACTTTATATATATGTTTAAAAAGGGAAGATGCATCCCCCTTGCTGAATGAATGCTGTGCAAATCATCCACAGGAGCGAAAAAAAAAAGGCAAAATAAGAGTTGATATATTTTAAATGTGTTTTTAACATGCCTAAGTCAGTTCCATCAGAATAGGTCTGGTGCTCTACTGAACGATTTCACAAAAACAAACTTTGTTTTTTTTTCTTTACAGTTCAACAGAAGAGCAGTTTCATTGGCAGACACAAGGTAATATACTTTTAATTACGACATAACTTACTTTCCTGAATGATTGTATTCCCTAAAAGAGATAGGGGGAAAGCAATGTGCAATTGTTCAGTACTTTTGTTTTAATAGAGTGAGATGACCCTATGGAAAACTAACAAAAATCAGCAAAAGATGCTAGGCTTGGCAAAAAAAATCACCTTAAATATTGTAGAGTTTTCTGAGGGGGGTACTGCTAAACGTGTCTTTAACTGTTTTAAAGATTAGACCTGAATTTTGTCAGTACAAGGGCAGGCGGAATTTCCCTGGTTCTTTACAGCGGCTTCCTTTTGAATATGTGATCCTGGTGTGGTACCCATTCCTTCATTAGCTGTGAGTTAGCATGTTAGTCACATGTAACTGGTTTTGCCTTTCCTCTCTTCTTTATGTCATTAATCTTCTTGCAGATGGCCAGAAGGACATAGAAGATGAACTCACCACTGGTTTGGAGCTGGTGGACTCCTGTATTAGATCACTGCAGGAGTCAGGGATACTTGATCCCCAGGACTATTCTGCCAGTGAAAGTAAGTTGCTAGAAATGTGCTTTTCAGAATCCAGAAGTATTGTAATGTGTCATGCTTTAAAATTAAATGCATTTGTGTAATGTATTTGTTGATTATTTTCTCACATTGACAGTAGACAATGTACTTTTGAATAGGGAACTTACCTCCTGGCCTTTGCAAGTTATTTTTTTCTTTATTTTCTGGCGGAGTGAACCTCACTGGAAATTTGTGGACAAAAGAACATTGGATTAGATCACCATAATCTGAGATGAGTTTTTAAGCCCTGAGCACAAGGTACTCGGTGAGACAAAAATTTTCATGTGGTTGCACAGACCGAATAGTGAGGTGAACTTTGTGGAGGGGGTGCTGAGAATGCCAGCTGTGAGGAGAAGGCCGGAGCCTGTTACCAGAGAGTCGTTTGCTGGGAGTCTGCAGACAGGTAGGTTCTCTGCTAGTCCAGCGACTGTGGAAGAGAATCACAGCTAACCCATAGCAAAAAATGAGGGAGTGATTTGTATTTGGAGAGCAGATTTCTGCAAGTGCCTCTGTTCATGAGTCAGATGATACAATCAGACAGTTTTCCATTGGGCTAATCAGTCCGTTAAAAGATAAGCCACTAGATTATGAGAAAGCAGGATAATTCCTGTTTCCCTTTCGTCAGTCTCCTGTCCAAACACTCTGCACTCCTCTGCCACAGTGCATTCCCATGCGCTCACCTCAGTCTTACTGCTGCTTCTGACATTACCTTGGTCTTTTAGTTTTCTCTGGTGTTCCTCCATATGCGTCGCCTCTGCTCTTTTGAGACAGTTTTGGCTTTTTCAGTGCCGTTGCCCAGCACCTAGTGACTGAGTCCTGTTTTCAAGACATCTGCCCACGTTCAGCTCTCTTGGAAACATGGGGGAGCTCTCCCCTTCCTTCAGGAAGGGCAATGCAGTGTGACAGTCATCTTCTGTGAAGTGTCACCGGGGACAGCAAATCAACGCCCTGAAATGTGGCCATGATTGCAGTGTAAAGCAAGGCATCGCAAGGTTGAATGCAGGAGGCTAATTTGTCAGAAATTAGGAAAAAAAATGTTTTCTACAAAATTTGAAGCACAATCCACAGTTGATAGTCGGGGAAGATTAGAAATTTTTCGCTTCTTATGTGTGTGAGATATCTGTGCCAACAGTGTTGCTAGCAGTCTTGACAAAATGTTACTTGGTCTGCATGCCATCTTCCATTGGTAGAACATGATGCAACAGTGTAAGCCCTTATGATTTGCCCTCATTTTCTTTTCCCTTTACATGTTTTCCTCATTTGAAGGTAAGAAGAAACGGACTAAATGACTAGGATGATAAGAATTTTCTTCATTCCAGGATTGCACAGAAAGCCTAGTTTGATGGTGATAGGGCAGCTGGGGCAAGAAAAACAGGGGTCTGTCTTTGATGTGGATCTGGCAGAATCTGCTTAGATAAGGAGACCAAAACTGAGGGAAAAAAAATATTAGGGAAAGTTTGATAGATAGAGAAAAAAATCTGGGCATGTGAAAAACTGTACTAAAACAAAGTTCAGGGGAGTATCCCAGGAGGGGAAGAGACAAATGGGAATTTGAGTGGGAAGAGGAATAAGGAATGTGGGTATATGGGAAACAACGATGGTGGAGAGAGATGGATTTTGTGGGGAACTAGAAGGAAAGGAACTGAGATTCATTGAAGTGGGTGGGGGGGCAGAGATTTGGAAGTTTGCTTCACTGGATGGTTTGTCCGTGGGATCAGGATATGGGTGGAAAGAGACTGAATGGCAGTCCCTGGAAGCGGTAGGAGCTATAGACGGAACAAAACTGTCCTTAAGAAATAGTATGTTTGGAGGGAAGAGGCAGATGAACATGGTCGCAAGGGAGCAGACTTCCCCACAGAGCTGCAAAGTTGGTTCCTCACCATTTCATGGTCAGACAATATTTATGAAGCTTTTAGTGAGGGTGCCCCTCACTCCTCTCTTCCAGGCCCACCCAGAACTGAAGCTAGATTGCATCTTGCTATTCATGTTTTTAATGAAGAAGCAGATACACATGGCAAATGTAAAGGTTGTAGCTCTGCTAACTACTCCCAATTGTGATTAGAATGTCATGTACTGGATTTTTTTGATTTTTTTTCCTTTTTCAATTTAGAATAAAGTATCCCAAATGCATGTGAAGTAGTTAAAATGTTACCATGGTTGCAAAGTCAAAACTGCTGAAGTCAAGGTTGTGTGTACAGCAAAACATGGCCTCCTCGCAGCTGCATTATAAAGCAGTCATTATCATGGCCTGTTTTGCCCATTTTCCGTCGATGCCCCATTTACCCGAAAGCCAAGGCTCAGGCCACATCGTGCACCGAGGGGAGATTTCAGTTGGAGCGCTTCTGCTCATTGCTTGCAGAAATTAGAGGATACGGACTAAATGAAAAGAAAAATCTCATGTTTGACACTTCAAGTCTGAACTTAAAATTGAATTTTACCTCTTCCTTTGTGTCCTGAAATTTTCATGTGATAGTTGTGAAATCATTCAAGCCATCTTGCTGGAAAGCAGCTCCGTGGAGAGGGATGTGGGAGTCCTGTTTGACAACAGGTTAATCATGAGTCAGCAATGTGCCCTCGTGGCCAAGAAGGCCAATGGGATCCTGGCCTGCATTAGGAGGCACGTTGCCAGCAGGTCGAGGGAGGGGATCCTGCCCCTCTGCTCAGCTCTGGTGAGGCCGCACCTGGAGTGTTGGGTGCAGTTCTGGGCTGCCCAGGACAAGAGGGATGTGGAGCTTCTAGAGAGGGTCCAGCAAAGAGCCACGAAGATGGTTAAGGGACTGGAGCATCTGTCGTATGAGGAAAGACTGAGCTGGGCCTCTTTAGCCTGGAGAAGAGAAGATTGAGAGGGATCTGATCAACATGTACGAATACCTGAGGGGTGAAGGGGTGAATGTAGGGAGGATGGGGCCAAACTCTTCTCCCTGGTGGCCAGTGACAGGACAAGGCATAATGGGTACAAATTGAAATACAGGAAATTTCATCTCCATGTGAGGAAGAACTTTGCTGTGAGAGTGACAGAGCCCTGGAACAGGCTGCCCAGAGAGGCTGTGGAGTCTCCTTCTCTGGAGATCTTCCAAACCCGCCTGGAGCAGGGGGGTTGGACTAGATGATCTTTAGAGGTCCCTTCCAACCTTAAGCATTTTGTGATTCTGTAATCTTTTATTGATAGCTAGTTTTGGACATTAGTGCCTAATTTGCAGGAGTGCTGAGTACAAACAGCTTTAACTGAACACTGTGGAAGCAGTACCTCAGAAACATGAGAGGAAATTCAAAACTCTCTGAAGCACAGCAGACGCAGCAAAATAGACATTTCATCTTAATTTCTTCAATATCCAAATAGGAAATGAAGACTATATAAATGTCTTGCTTCAAAGGTGTTTCAAAAGTCATGATATTTGTGATGTATGTGTAGAGAGCATTGAGCGCCCTGGGATAATCCACCAGGACTCTAGAAGTTTTCTTCTTCCCATTGGCCATTTTTCAAGGATGTGCTGAGGACATGTGGTGAAAAACGGGACAGCTACAAATAATGAGTAGTTTTGCATTGTGTGTACTGTCCGTAAGGTAAAGAAGGAGGGGAATAGCATATGTGCTGATGTAATAATTCAAAAAAAAAAAAAAATCTTAAATCTTTTTTTTTTCTTTTAAGATTTTGACATTGTAACTTTAATTATTTTCACTTATGCATTTTAGATACCTGCATTTTCTGTGGCTAGGCTGACTCTCTTTAGTTGAGTCCAATTTATTTTTTTATTTTTAAATGTCATATCAGACTGCCCAAGGGTGTGACCACAGATTGTTTTTTGACTGGTGGCCTCCAGTCTAGCAAGATAACCTATCAGTAGCTGGTTCTCTGAAGCAGATTAATCTGTCAGTAGTCAGTTGTTATCACTCAGTTTTACAAAGTCTCATTTTCTCCAAATTAATTTTTAAAAGTGGCCACATAGCAGGCAGCTCTTCTAATGCTCTAAATCCCTGTATCACCTCCCATGTGCTCTTCCTTCGCTGGCAAATACAAGCTGTGAGCAAAGCCTAAAGAAGCAAGTCCCATGAAGGGCCCTTAGACAGGAGGGGTTCTCTAATGCTAGTTGTCATGCCTACCAGGTACATCTGATGAGTGTGAATCAGCACATAGACAAATATATAGGTATGGTATATAATACTTTGATTGATTCAGGGCAATGCAAGCAGAGCACTCCATGTTTTTTTTCTTTTTATTTTCTGATTTTTTTTTCTTTTTTTTTTTTAAAAAGAGTAATTATTGTCGAACAGTGGCAGATTCAGAACAGCTGTGTTCTCTTATATACTTTTTTTTATGCTTCCACTGAATCTGGGACGAGGTTGTACATGTCTGCGGGTTACTCCTGCACTCTTGTCTCTCTCTTTTCTTCCAACTCAGTATAAATTGGGCCTCTGAAAATACATGATTTTAGTTGCAAACAAAAAGTAAGGAAACTTCGCCAATTGTGTAAGAAGTCTGCAGTTGAGGTGAGAACTAAACTCACCTCTCCTTACTCGAGTCTCCTCTACAACAATATTGTTCTTTGTATCTTTTACAAAGCTATAGCTCTATCACCTGTGCATCACTACATTTTACATCAAATATGACCTGACACAATTTTCCTGGAGTCAGTGGGGAATTCGGATTGTCCTGAATGTCGGCGGGATAGGGGGAAAAATCAGACATACGAAAACGAAGATAGGTCACATAGGAGACAACTCAAAACAAGTCATAGGAGAGGGATGTGGAGCATGTTTATGAACTGGAATCATCTGAAAATAAAACTGTGGGGCTGGGACAAGGGTTCAGGTCACAACTAATATCAGGCGTGTTTTAGACTTAGGCATGAGACACAGGAGTACAGAATGGCGACAGCAACTGAGGAACGGTGTTTTGATGATGGAATTGGTTAATTGGGAAGGAGTCACGAAAAAGCGCTCTGTGAGGGTTGGATGTGTGTGGAAACGGAACAGTCAGATTTTAA